GGCAAAGTAAATTATTAGCCTGCTGATATTTATATGTCTATTTCTCCCAAATATTGCCTTATTGATATGAAACTTATACCAGCAGCTCAGAAAACAGGTGTGATGATGTAGAAAAAGTCATTTCATTCTTAACTATATTTCTCCAAGTTAGCAGGGGGATGCATTTTTTGGCAAAGTAAATTATTAGCCTGCTGATATTTATATGTCTATTTCTCCCAAATATTGTCTTATTGATATGAAACTTATACCAGCAGCTCAGAAAACAGGTGTGATGATGTAGAAAAGCTTGTGCCCGAGACGGTCCTGATGATGCATTATGTTTATGGCTGGGTCCCAGGATCAGTACCACTGTTAAAAAAAATAATAAGTCTGTAGAAATACAGAAAAATCACAGCAGCAATGAAAACAGTGTGTAGAATTTGTCATCTAGTTTGCGTCTGACGTGAAGGGTGCATTTATCCGTTCTTTCTTCCAAGCATTTAAAATGAAGTGTGAAATCAATCAGAAATAATAGGCAATTTCGCTACACAAAAAAGTGGCCACTCAATTAGAGGCGGTCCTAGCCTGTTTGGCAGGCTGGTACGGGGGGCCAGTGGGTGCTAGAAAGGTGTATTACAGATCCCAGGATCGGTACTGTGGTGATAAAATGATAAGTCTATAGAAATACAGAAAAGTCTATAGAAATACAGCAGCAGCGAACACAGTGTGAAGCGTTTGTCATCTAGTTTGCGTCTCGTTATTTTGCAAAAACTCATTTTATACACATTTCCCTGAGCTCCAATTCCTATACTTCGGTCTCTAATAACTGAAACATGAGTGCTTAAAATGTGCATACATTCCCGTGTCTTCAAATAAACCTATTCATCATATCAGAATCTGCAGTATCTTGTCCCACATTCTCTCCAATAAAGCTTTAATATCAATCAAACATTGAATAAGAAATTAGACATCTATGTTGACATGATGTAGACTACAGCAAACTCAGGATATACTCAATATCAACAATTTACTAAATTGTAATGTTTAAGAACTTCAGCACTTAAATCATGGTTTTACTTTCACTCGGAATAAACAAAATAATCTGCAAACCTTAACTTAAGTAATTAACTTTAGAAAAATGAACACGCTTTGCATAATATTCTTCCTTAACACTTATTCCTTTGCAATTGGTCATCACTCTGAATAAAACACATAACCCAGCATCACAAACTTCTGCAAGTGTGAGTGAAACCAATCTGTTCCACTGTGTAACCCGGCGTCATGCCTTCAAGACAATACATAGGGCAAACCTGACCCATCTGCCTGTCAGACACTGAGAATTCATGTTATCACCTGCTCAGGGGTGGCAAGATCATAACATGAAGTATCCATCCTCTTCAGACCTCAAGCAGCCAACACACACACACAATTGAACATTTTATAATGTTATTTATTTGAAAGATGTATTTTTGAATGAGATGTTACAACAGCGGGAGTTTAATATGGCTTCAGCGTGAACTTTTGGTCCCAAAAACAACAAACAAAAGAAAACTACCTTATTAATGTGACAGGATGAAGCCTGCCCTCCAGGATTGAGGACTTCTAGCCTCCAATTATAACTCATAAGAGGTGCATGGAAGGAGACTCTTTCATCCTTTTTCTTTATGCTTTGACATTGTTATGTGTAAGTGGGAATGGTGCTGGTTGGTTTGCAGTGGTCATAACTCTAACTTCAGTAAGTATTGTTTCTCTTGTATAAGAGCTGTAATTAAAGATGTGTAACTCAAATTGTTGATTTAGAAACTGTCTGGAGTCTCCTGCTGCTACTGAAGTGTGGCTGTAATTTCATCTCCCCAGTCGATCTTGGCAACATAAAAACCAGTATGTACTTTTTATTGCATCCATGCAGTTCAATAGCACAAAAGCATGACAACTGTTCATATACAGAAAATACTGGAAAGTTGATCCATGCTGTTGGGCCGGAAGCGACTCTCTGCTTGGGGTGGAGTCATCCAGCTCTTGTAGGTGAAACTGGGTTCCTGATCTGCATTGTACTGTTTATCGAAACCATCTATTCGTCATTTCTTTTCAGACAAAAAACTGCTGCAACTTGGTGGAGACCCTGCTGCTTTGTTTCCTCAGTTTTGTGCTTTTTTTTTCTATGCTTGTTTACTTTGGGTTATATTCTATTGCTTGGGGATTGTTCTGTGTGGCCTCTGGCTTTGCTGCTGGTAGCAACGTTGGGATTTTAGATCACTCAATTTAAGCCTTGGGTTTTTTTGTTGTTTCTTTTTTTACATGGATATATATGTCTGAGGTTGAGATGACTTCAGTTTAGTACTTGTCCATGTCTATATTATAGTAGTACTTATTTGCTTTGTTTAATCCCACCCTCATTTTTTGTGTCCTGGCTGAGAGCTGAAGGTGGTGGCAGTTCTCCAGGGAGACTGGTTCTTTGTGCTGTGCGATTGACCAGTGTTGGGGTTTCTTCATGCATGTTTACAAGTGGTTGGGGTGGTTTTTTTCTTTTTTTTTTTTTTCTTTTAGGAGCCAGTTTCCCACACTTGGACTGCCCTCCCCCTGCTGGTAGGTCTCAGTGCTGCTCATTTCCCTTTCCCATCCTTCTTTTCCTTTCGGCTTTTTCCCTTTAGGGGTTGCCATAGCGGGTCATCCGTCTCCAGGTAATCCTATCTTCCGCATCTTCTATCACATCAACTACCTTCATGTCCTCTTTCACTCTATCCATAAATCTCCTCTTTGGTCTTCCTCTAGGTCTCTTTCCTGGCAGGTCCATCCTCAGCATCCTTCTACCAATGTATTGAGTGTCTCTCCTCTGTACATGTCCAAACAATCTCAGTCTGGCTTCTCAGATTTTATCTCCTACACATCTGACATGAGCTGTTCCTCTGATGTATTCAATTCTGATCTTATCCATCCTTGTCACTCCCAAAGAGAACCTCAACATCTTCATCTCTGCTACCTCCAGCTCTGCCCTACAGTCCATGGAGATTCCTGTCTAACCTCATCTGTCAACCTGTCCATCACCACAGCAAATAGGAAAAGGGCTCAAAGCCGATCCTTGGTGAAGTCCCACTTCCACCTTGAGCACTCCTACAGCACACCTCACCACAGTCTTACAGCTATGATACATGTCCTTCACCACTCTAACATATTTTTCTGTTACTCCAGACTTTCTCATGCAGTACCACAGCTCCTCTCTTGGAATCCTGTCATATGCTCTCTCTAGGTCTACAAAAACGCAATGCAGCTCCCTCTGACATTCTCTGTACTTTTCTATCAACATCCACAATGCAAAGATTGCATCTGTAGTACATTTTCTTGGCATGAAACCATACTGCTGCTCACAGATGTCCACTTCTGACCTTGGTCTGGCTTCAACTCTTTCCCATAACGTCATTGAATGACTCATCAACTTTATACCTCTGTAGTTGGCACAATTTTGGACATCTCTCTTGTTCTTGAAAATTGGTACCAGCACACTTCTCCTCCATTCCTCAGGCATCCTCTCACTCTCTAGGATCTCATTGAATAGCCTTGACAAAAACTACTGCTGGCTCTCCTAGACACTACCATACCTACACAGGTATGTCAACTGGACCAACTGCCTTTCCACTCTTCATCCTTTTCAATGCCTTCCTGACTTCATCCTTACTAATCTTTGCTGCTTCCTGATTCACAGGCGCAGCTTCTTCTCCTCTTTGTTCTCTCTCATTTTTTTCATTCATCAACTTTTCAAAGTACTCCTTCCATCTTCTTATCACACTTTTTGTATCTGTCAGTAGAGTTCCATCTTGGTCCTTAATCACCCTAACCACATTGAGCATCATGCCATCAATTTCTAACTGCAGGCTAATCAACCTACCTGACACTCTTTTCACTTCCAGAACATTCCTGATCAACTCCTCCTTTACAACAATCCCTACACCATTTCTCTTTCCCTTCCTGTTGTAGCTTATTTACATTTTAAATGTCTTTTAAACAAAACATGGAACAATAAAATGTAACGTTTTGTGGAATAAACTCTCGTTCTCATTGGTTTTCAAACCTTGAGTGCTTTACTGGTGCTCCATTTCCTCGGCTGCAATTCCCAAGGTGGCATTGACACCTGGTTTACCCTGAGAGGTGCATTTTAAGGGGCAGGAGTATCAAGCTATTTCATACCCTTGTGTTGCCACATTAACTAAAACTTATTTGAAAGTGAATAACCAAATGACAAAAACTCCCTGATTATGAAAACCACGAGAAAACTAAGCAAACAAACGGCAACTCACTCCTACAAACTCGAAGAACTTTTAGAAAGGTGTTTAGCAAAGAAACAGTGTGCTCAGTTGAGCTGAGGATGCATAGCAGGAAGTCTACATCAGGTTTCTTTTTCTTTTTTTTTTTTTTTAAATCAATCGCCTCCAACAGTCCACCAATCAGACATCTCCACGGTCTTCTGGGTGCTCACTAGATAGGAGATATTGGAATGTTTATGGTTGCACTGTGAGTGACACTAGTGTTCTACAGGTCAGCTAAATTATATTTGAAGAAAAGCAGAAAAATGTTATGTAAAAAAATATCGTTTTATAAAAGGCCTATGTTATATCCTACTTAATATTTACATGGTTTTGTGCCAGAGCCATATGTTCACTATGGCTTTGGTAAAATGTTTGGCCAAAGGCTGTTTTGTTCTTAATCCGTCCCTCATCCACAACTTCTGATCACACTGAGGATGATGAATGAGGAGGAGGGTTGTATGGGTCTGTTTCATTATTGTAAATAGGGACTTCTAACAAAACATGGGAAAATATGAATGTGACAGTTTTGTAGGGGAAAATAGCACTCTGCTTGCATCTGTGCCAGATAAATATGTTCATCCAAACCTTACATAACATTCTTAATTCAGACACCCTCGCATGTAAATTATAACATAGGCAGTAGAAGCCTGCAGTCTATATAGAGCACAAGTAAAATGGGGCAAACTGCCAACATTTCAGTGAGAACCTTGGTGCAAAAAGGAAAGGACAGGAAAAACTAATCCTTTGGTTAGATAAAATGGTCACAAATGACAGATGTACTTGACTTGTGTGACAGCATCTGTGGCTGTGTGTATTAATGAGAGAGAGAGAGTAGCTGGGTGGAGACAATATTATGTGTGCCTGTATCCATCCCATAATAGTTTCCATGTGATCAAGTCAGGCTAAACGTGTGTGCAGTGAATGTTACCAAAGCTGCCGTTTCCTGATTGGTTGCTGCCTACACATATTCAGTATGCACCCGCTGGCTCTGAGAATGTGTATGACAGGGAAAGAGAGAGAGGGATAGTGGGGGATATAAAAGGGGATAAAGAGAATGACAGAAGATGCAATGCACAAAAAAAGAGTCAATCTATTCTGAGCCAGGTGAGATACATTCTACAGCTGAAACAGCAGGTAAGATAGTCCTACAGTGTTCCATTTGTTTTTTGACTTTAAAGTTGTTTTACTCTCCTTACGCATGCTGGCTTGATCACTGAATGTTTTCTGTGACAAAGATTTATACATTTAGTTTTATTTACACATTTAAGACAAGATATTGGTGAGAGAATGATGCAGGAAAAAAAAGTATTCTAGTTTACATCTGTCAGTCATTCACCACTAAGATGACCAAAAGCTGTCATTTGTGTTTTTTTGTTGTTGTTGTTGTTTTTTTTATTGTTTTTTATTTAATCCATTTACAGTTATGTTTCTTGGGGTGTGTATCTTCTGTGGCTTGGCTTCTCACAACAGGACACAATGCTCCAGGTTCAAGGTTTGAGAAGAGTATGATTTTAGGGGTAATTTCAATTTTAAAGTATTACCAGCACGTGCAACAAGAATCTTTTATGTGTCCGTGTGTGGAGTTTGGCTGTGGAATAGTTTAAAGGCTGAACTGAAATTGTGTGTAAGCCTAAAGCAGTTTAAAATAATATGTAAACGGATGTTTTTTTTTATCAACATAGGAATGATGACACAAATTGAATATTAAATTTAAAATATTGTATACATTTATTTAATTTGCATTAAAATTAATAGGTTATTGTTTTAACCGGCATTTTGTTTGAGTAGAGGACAGATGTTAACAGGCATAAGGGGTGGAAGTGTTTACTTATATCCACTCCTTTTCAGACAAGAAACCGTTGAGTAATGGCCAGAGGAGATGTCTTGAAGATTTCATCCATCCATCCATCCATCCATCCATCCATCCATTTTCTTTACACCCTTGTCCCTTAGTGGGGTCGGGAGGGTTGCTGGTGCCTATCTCTAGCTAGCGTTCTAGGCAAGAGGCGGGGTACACCCTGGACAGGTTTCCTGAAGATTTATTAGTTCATATTTATTTAGCTGATTCTGCGTTGTTGTCTTTCCATCTGATTGTTTTATTCTTACAAAGGTCTGAAATAAACCTAAAACTAAACATAAAAAATGCTTAGTTTTTTTTTAACTCAAAATATCATTTCCATATAATATTGGAAATTATATTTTGATATTTTAAATATAAATGAGACAAATCAGCAGTTTCATGGTGGTGCACTGTGGAGGTTGTTTGTATTGTGTTCCTCTGTGATAGACTGACAACCTGTCAGTTGAAATCAATTTCAATTAAGTTTATTTACATAGCACCAATTCACAACAAATGTTGTCTCAAAGCACTTTACAAAGAAAAAGGTGGAAAATAAACATTTCAATTCAATCATGCACACATTCCAAGTGATCCTAGTAATTAAACAGTACAGTATGCTCAATTAATTATTCAAAGTAGTTCAAAAAGTTTCAAAGAAAATGGATATGGTGTATCTTCCTTTCACTCAAAGAGTGCTGGAGATAGTTACCCTGTCCAGTTAATTGATTATGATGGATGAATTCAAGTTGTTTCAGAAAAATGTGAGGTTCCTACACCTCTGAACTGGTCTAGCTTCAGTGATGAAGAAAGAACAAACAGAAGACAATGGAGATTGAGTTTAAACATAAAGAAATAAAGAAGTACTGAAAATCAGGGAAACCAAAATATCACCTGCCCAATTTAATCTGAGTAAAACCAAGAAAAGGTTTAGTCCACAGATTTAAATTGAAGTATGAACAATCATTAAGAACAGACAAATAAAAAAGACAGCTTATGGATAAAAAAATCAGCTCATAAATTGATGTGTCCAGGGATGGAGTAGAGTGTAAGACCCCCTGCCCTTAACCTCCATCGACAACTAGAGACAGCTACCAGCTACTCTCCATGAAATCACACAGCATTAAGCTGGCTCAGGACATGGACAATTGAATCAATTACAAATATCTGCAACTTTAAGTCTGACCATCCATCTGGATGGTCAGACTTAAAGTTGCAGATATTTGTAATTGATTCAATTTTAACCTGCATGGGTCTAATAACACATTCATGAGATGTATCAAAAGTGTTCTTTTGATACATAAATTCAATGAATGCATTGCATTCAATGGATTTTGCCAACAGGGTGAATCATTCTGTGTTTTTGTTTTCATGTTATGAAAGAGACCTGTTAGCAATGTCACTGTGGGATAGTGCATAACTTCTAATGGGCTCTTTGCAAGTCAGCTTCCACATGCAGGGATAAGCGGCTCGGTTGCTAAGGGTCTATTATGAGAGGCCCCAAGGGCCAAAACCTACAAACTCTCTTAGACGTACTATCAAACTCTCTTACTCGTACTATCAAACTCTCTTACACATACTGTCAAACTATCAAACCCTCTCACATTCGCTAGCAAACTCTCTCACATTCGCTATCAAACTCTCTTGCACATACTATCAAAGTCTCTGACAGAATTTGATTGCAATGGAAGTTAACTTAAAATTTCAGTTTCTGATTGGACCCCAGGCAGGCTTTTCAAAATAAAAGCGGACCTCCGGTTTATGTTTGATTCATGTTTCTCTCCTGCGGCTTTAAAAATGTAAAACTTTGTGTTAATTGATTTGCTAAAGGAAATCATGTATCTGAAAATAAATTAAAACATATTATGTTGGCAAACAATTCTGTAAACGACATATGTGCTACCTCAATCAAAATTGCTGACATTTGACATGCAAAAAAATCTTTCAGATTACATAAACAATATCTTTACCAGGTACTTCTCTCACTTCAGGATGATACAGGGACACCTATAAGATCAATTTTAACTGAGGTTGCACATATGTGCTTTAGAGGATTTTTGCCCACGCAATTTTTTTTTTTTTTCAGATACATAATGTTGTTTTGCAAATTAAAACCCTCTATGGCATGGCGTTGCTCTCGGACAACAAACCACATTTCTGTACCACACGTTGCTCCTTTATTTTATTTTTTGGGGGGAATGATTTAAAATACCTCCAGACATATTTGTGTCCAAATAAAAGAGGTATTGAGGTTCATGTGACCTTTTACTTAGAAGAGGAACAGTCCTTTTTATGAAGCGGAGGTGCATGCTACGCCTTGCCTCCTACTTGTAAGTTATACATCACTTTTCTTCATGTTTAAATTTGGGTCGTGTAAGAGAGTTTGTAGGTTTTGGCCCCATGGGCCAAAACCTACAAACTCTGTTACATTCACTATCAAACTCTCTTACATTCACTATCAAACTCTCTCACATTCACTATCAAACTCTCTCACATTCACAGTCAAACTCTCTTACAGAGTTTGACTGCAACGGAAGTCAACTTAAAATTTCAGTTTCTGATTGGACCCCAGGCAAGATTAGGCGGGTTTTCACGGACAGAAAAATAGCTGAGCGGCATCGACTCACATATGCAACTAATATTTTAAATGACATCGTTAGCGCTCCAACAGTAATGTCAGCATTATCAGAAGTGTTTAGAAGCCGACAGCCAGCATCGGAAACCCCATCTTTCAGTGGGATAAAGCTAGCCGCCTCTTCGGAAATGGCAGTAAAGCCAGCCTGCACTCGACTTTAATGTGCGCGACAGTACAAGTTATGGCGCTCTCTTTTCAAAATAAAAGCGCATCTCCGGTTTATGTTTGATTCACACATCAAGTTTCTCTCCGGTGGCTATAACAGGATATAACGGCGGCTTTGTGTTAATTTGCAAAACGACATTATGTATCTGAAAAAAAATATATATATATTGTATGGGCAAAAAATCCTGTAAAGCACATATGTGCAACCTCAGTTAAAACTGGTCTTATAGAGGACTTACCAGTGAGAGAGGTACCTGGTAAGGTATTATTTATGTAATCTGAAATATTTTTTTGCATGTCAAATGTCAGCAATTTTGATTGAGGTAGCACATATGTGGTTTACAGAATTTTTTGCCCACGTAATATGTTTTAATTTATTTTCAGATACATGATTTCCTTTCGCAAATCAACTAACACAAAGTTTTACATTTTTAAAGCCGCAGGAGAGAAACATGAATCAAACATAAACCGGAGGTGTATGTTTAAGAAGACATACACCTCCGGTGTACATATCTGACATACAAGATATTATATCTTGATGCCCCATGCCTCTATGAAAGCAGCTGCTCATGTTTGACCACCACTACCAGTTGACAAATTTCACACGCATGCATCAATGAAGTCATGAGACAGATTGATGTATCTATTTTTGCAAGGACAGTTTTTGTTTTAGTTCTGCTACGATTTCCATCAAATTCAGATCTCTCACTTTTGCACATGAATCTTTAGTCTTGGTATATTTTATTTTTGCAACTATAAGCAATTCCCTTGCAGATTTTATTTTATTTATTTTTAAGATATGTACAGTGTTGTGAAACTGTAAATATCTGACACACTACATGTTTATATGTTTTAGATCAGTCCTGCAAATTTTAGATATTTCCTACATGGTTGAATTAAATGGTAAACCTGCCTCATTAGCAGAGCTCTGCTAATGAGCTAATATGGAAGACAGGTGTGCCAAAGCAGAAGAGACATCGAAAAATTAAAGGATACCATCAGCCCTGGAGGACTGGAGTTTGAGACAACTATTACAACTTCAAATTAATTCATACAAATTAAACAGAAATCTCAGATTTCAAATGATGATTTCATATTCAATATAGAAATAACTGATCAATATTTTTGGTTCCATTGGCAGCAGCATGACTATAGTTAAAGACCTGAAAATATCAATACTTTCTGACAGAAAATTTAAAAATATTCAAAAACAGATGACAAAAAAAACAACCTTCTTGACATCTTTATATCTGGAAAAGATTAAAAAGCTATTTCAAAGGCTTTGAGACTCCAGTGGACCATGGTGAAAGCCTTTGTCCATAAAAGATAAAACATGGAACAGTGGTGTCTCATCCCAGAACACCACTCCCCTAGATCAGTGTTTTTCAACCTTTTTTGAGCCAAGGTACTGTTTTAATTGAAAAAATCACAAGGCACACCACCAACCAAAAATGTAAACAAAGATACTCTGTAGCTGCCTATATTAGTCATTCTTATCAAAATGTATTGAATAGGAATCAAATAAACACAAAATTTTATTTTTATCACATTTTACATTTCTTATTTCAAATTGCACGTAACATGTCCACTTCAAAAATACACCTGAATAGGGTCACAACACTGTGGTCTTAAAATTAAAGAAAACTTCAAAGTGTTTTACAAACTAATCCACAAGCATTATTTAAGCTGTAATACAGAAAATCATTCTTATTCTGAAAGAAGCAATAATATTTGGGAAAGATTTCACTATTACAATATGAAGATTTGCATGTACAAAATGTCAATATCTGTATATTTTACCCATCTAGTGTGAAACCTGTGCATATTTGGATGAAAACAGCTGATTTCCTGGCAGAAATTGAAGAAAGACAAAGCTCTTCCTC